GGTGAGGAAAAATTCAACTGCGACGGCCCCGACGAGAAACCGATTCCGCTGGCACGACCTGAGGAAAGACAAGTTTCAATTTTTCCGGGTGGAACTTCAATGGATGTGGTCTCATGGTCTGGCCTGCCATCGAATCAATTCAAAGTCTGGAACTGTGCTCCGTATGAAAAAAAGAAATGATTTCTTCCGTCATCTAAAAGTCACGCGACAACGTCTCCTTGCTTTCTGGCGTAGAAATCAGCAAGAAAGTCCCGTTTTAATGCAGGATAATGCACCAGTTCATGACAGTCGAAGCACTCGAGCGTGATTCAGTTGTCACCAAACCGCTCTTTTGCCCTGGCCAGCGAGTAGCCCCGACTAAAACCCAATCGAGGATGTGAGGGGCTTCATGGTGCGTATGATCCATGAGAGTAATGCACAATTCCACAATGTCCGTGAGCTTAGGGAGTAATCATTGGGGCAGTCGGCCGAAAGCCTATTAAAATCTCTAATCGAACATGGGCAACCGTATTTTCCAACTTAATTGGAGAAATAGAGTTCCAATAGATTACTGGATCAAATTTATTCATTTTATTGTACATTTGTTGTTGGAATATTCGATTTGTTCGGTGGAACTATCATTTTGCTGCGTTGTCAGAACGACCATTTTTGAAAAAATTGACGAAAAAAATTGTTTTTCAAGTTAGTGTTTGTTGTTGGCATGCGAATTGGTATTGGTAATTACCACATTTTTTGTATGGGGCATTTTGGAAAACTTCGTGTAAGACAGGATTTTGTGAGATTCATGGGTGGAACTATGATTATGCTTCGCAGTGTATTTGGGGGGGGGGGGCTATAATATTATAGTTGCACAAGGAAGGATGACCATGTACCACTTGAGCGCGGGGGCTGTCTTTAAGTACCCTTATCTGCGCAAGCTATCGACGATGGCAGAATATGGAAACGAATTATCGCTTGAAAGCTAAGTGGCACCTCTTTCACAGCAGTTACGTTACCAACTTTTCAACGTTGAGTAAGGAGTCCCTCTAATCAAAGCGTAGAGTTGTTCCTCCAGTGAAAAAGAATGAAAAACTGGGAAGGCTATCAGGTCCACATCACCATACGTCATAGAGTCGAAAGACATGTAAACTTTCTGGACCTTCAAGGAAAAATTTTCTAGGAATTTCGCGACGGCCGCTATGGGTTTTCCCCACTGATTGGGAGGTTTTGTGGGATGACCGTGCCCAAGGTTGAAATTCGTGCCAAATCAGGTAACCATCTCATTTCAGGGTTAGAACTTTTTCGGACTCATCATCATTGTTAAGGTTATCTTTGGATTCGATTTCATTCGGACGAGATGCTTGAATATAAGGGCTTTTACGCCTCTTACACAATGGTTCGATCGACGGATCGTAAACCGAATCAACATGGTTAGTTTTCCAGGAAGGTAAATAAGCGATTTCCAAGATTATGCAAGGACACGCTGTAAGGTTAGCTTCTTGGACCTTTGGTGCGTGGGAGGCAAAATGTCTACTTGCGCCAATCACTTGACTGTGCTCCAAGTGAGGCCGGAGGGGAGTGATGGCCCGGACTCCGTCCCACCAATGAGTAAACCACGTAGCACGGTGCTGTGCTATAGCCATACGCGCTACTCGTCCGCTCTCTTTCACGCCTGGTGAGTATCTGCACTTTGCCGCAATAGGCAGCTTGCCTTGCTCACTGAGACTGCGCTCATAATTTGCAACCAGCGACCAATACGTCCACCAGGGCTCCGAGCGTATAGCAGCGTCAGCGACTAGGAAAGCATAGAAATCGATGTAACGTCTGCGAGCGTCCACCAGCGTCCTGCAGCAGCGAATAGTATCACAGCTGTCTGCTACCTTCCTATCGCGTCATACTCTCTAACAGCACTCTGCTACCCTCCTATCTCTATATTCTCTACCAGCTGTCTGCTACCGCCCTATCGCCCCATACTCTCCAGTCCCGGGTGCTGCTGGTCTGGTAGACGCTGGCGGCAGACGCTAGATTTATGCCTATACTTCCCTAACTCTCGGGACGTTGTTGGTCGCTGGTGGACGTTGGGGTCGCTGGTGGACGCCGCTGCAAAGTATGAACGCAGCCTTGTGCTTTCATCGGGCACTCCATCATCACAACGGGGGGGTCGTATTTGCCCGCGATGGAGGGGGGGGTCGTAAACGCATGGCCCATGTTGAAGTGGAGAGAGCGGTGATACACGGTACAAGTGAAAAGAAGCTCAAAAGGGACGATGTAGATGACAATAAATAGAACTAGGCACTATCGAACTATTCCTAGGCCAAGAACTAAAAAAATATTGCTGAAACTTTTTCCTCCTTCCTCACAAAAAACTTCAAGACACTTCGCCCACCAACCCTCCTCATCTGGTCTAGATAAATCCCAATCCACTAATCCGCAAAATCTAGAAAAGAATCCATTGCAAAAGCTACCTATGAAACCGTAGAAATTGAATCCTGAGCAATTTCCTCACAACAAAATCAAACTCAACAAAACAAAATCAAACTCAACAAAAACAAACAATCAAAATAATTCACAATCAAATGGATAAGAAAAAAAACTCACCAGGCCAGCTGGGAACCGGAACTATGGATTACTTTTGAATTTTGGCTGTTCGCGGTCAGCGCGCTCATACAAGCTCATTGGTGCGCGCTATTTTACGGCCTGGAGCCAATTTCAAGCCAAACACGTGAAAAGTACCCCTCATTTGAACACCCATAACTTCGTTGAAAGTGAAGCTATCGGAGAGGGGTAAGTGGGAATGAGTAGAGCTAGGTTGGCTCTTGTCACCTGAATTGAGCGATTTCAAAAACGTTCCGATTCCAGAGATTTTCCCCGTTGTGATCATCGTTGTGATCCGTCTGTGATCATTTTTGCGAACCGCGAGTCGCTACGCTTTGGACGTCCATGGCAAGCTTCATACACGGCCTTTCGTAAAAAAAGAATTGTGCCGGAAGCTTGAAGATTTCTACTTTCCAGCAAGGCTTTAATTTTCTTCCTAGGCCTGCTATTCGAAAAAATTCCCCGTTGTGATCATTTCGTGCTCACCCCCACGACACGAAAAATCAACCCCTCCGAGGCCAGGAAACCAGTTGGCTTGAAGACTTTGGTATGCTTCTGAAACACATGTTTCCGCAAAGGGTATTGAAGAATGGTCTAATGGGCGCCAATTGGCATCACCTGTGCAATGCGCCATGCATGGGGCTTTCACGCAGGTTTTGGAAAGGTGTAACTTCTAGATAGGGCTTCCCAATTGCAAGCAAATGTGCTCCTACGATCAGAAAGTCCGGGAATGTACTTTCATCTGTTTATTAATCGTCACGTCGTGAGTCCTTTTGTTTGTTTATAAATTCATGGTGCCCTTGTGGGCGGTGATCGTAGCTCCTATCATCGCCCCTTCCTCGTACGTATTGTCAGTATGCTACACCAGCGCCAGAGTGCTGGACGTGCTTGGGACGTACGTAGGTACTGCGACCTCCCCCCCCCCGCTCGACAGCAAAATTTTGTAAAAAAACCAGAAATTTTTTGGGAAAAAATAGACAAAGTGGTAGGAGGTTGGAAAAATCTAGGGAAGAGGTAACATGGGGAGGGGGTCGTACTTGAAGATGGAATTAGGGGGGGGGGTATTTTTCAGGAAATGATCACAACGCAATGGCGTGCCCTGCTTTCATACATGAGCTGTTTCAATTCTATTTATTTCTATACTATTTATTTCTTTCCATTGCTTATTCACTAATTTAGACTGTCAGATCGAGCACAGACATGCACTGGACGGATACGTGGGAACGAAAGCTATCACAAGCAATTTAGTGAGTACCATAAATAATGGTTTTCCTTACAAGGAAGTCAGTCAGATCGTGGAACCACTTTCAAAGCGCTTTGTTGCATCTCGTAGAGGCTCATGCGCGATCATCAGAAAGTACTTCATTTTCGCTGCGTGCCTCGGAGAAGGCCAAGCAATGGTTCCAAAGGCTCAAGAAAAGGCTTATGGTTCCAATATCTCAGCTGACAAATTTTTGCAGTTTTGCAGTTTTTTTTTTCTTGTGTTCGTGTAAATCTTACCTTTTGTCTGAAGTAAAACGAGGGCAAACACATCCGAATCTTCTGTCAAGAAAGCAGAATAGCCATCTATCAAATTCTTTGTGAACACTTGAAGTTTTCCATCCGTTTTCTGCATCCTCAGGAGCCTGCAGCAGAAATGAAGTACTTTTTTGTAAACTCCTCATGAACGTATGCAGCCTGCAACAAACTGTTTCGAAAACGGGTTCTACGACCTGAAAGACCTCACTTGTTAATTTTCACTATAATTTCGGGTTCTCAGGCACTCAACTTTACGGGGTCGTTGGATTGCATTTGGTTATTGGAAGTACCACATGACTACAATATTGTGCTATTCATCAACGAGTTCTCGCTTTACGCTCCAAACCACTGCGAGCTTAACTTCTTTGAAGTGTATTCGGGAACTAGATCGGACAAGCCGCTGAAGAGGTAATTTATGATTGTTTCGTATTATCTTTGAGACTTTGTTGTTCAGAAAAAATATAAA